TGAGGGGAGCAAGGCAGGTGGTGGTGTCTGTGTGGGAGACGGGGAGACTGGAGCGCAGACACGGACGGGCTCGGGATCACTGGTTAGTAACCGAGAAAGCGGGACGCAAAGCCGTGTCTTCTGAGCCCCCGTCCAGCAGTCTTTCCCTACAGCCACATTCGGGGCTCCGGAGTGTTTCGTAGGGGTCAGAGCTAGAGAAAAGATTAGTAAGCAGAAGTAGTGAAAAGAAAAGTGCCTGTGAGAACCCAGTGGATTTCTGCAGTGACATCGTCAATATTTGTCTGCTCTTGGTTTGCGCTACCCTGCCTAGTGTTCCCCTTCGACCTTTGGCTGGACGGGGTGGTACACAGCAGGGGTGTCCAGGTCCATGTTTGTCGAATGGGTGGCAAACAGTCGGTTCTTACAAAATCCCATCCCACGCCTGGCGCCGTTTCCATTCCAGTTCCGCACGTTTACGCCGTGGGCCCAGCCGGGGGTGCGTGGCCCTCAGTTAGTGCACTGGCAGAGGAGGGGGTTCATTAGAGAGCCAGAGTCCACTGCACGTCTGGTGTGGCCTTGTGGTTGCCTTGTAACAATGTGCTTGGTGTTCACTCAGCGTCCGAGCCGTTACTGCATCTTAGATTGACCAGCCAGCTGCGTTTATTGGTGCCACCTTTGTTCCAGCAAACCTGGCAAACTGGGACCCTCGTGGACTATTGCCCGTCAGCAGGTTGACAGAGAGTCCCTGAGGGAGGCAAGCGTGGACCTGCAGGCTGGCCGGGAGACGGCGGAAACCATTGAAGCTTTGGTTTTGACAAACGAGCCAAGTAGGAGTGGAGGGGAAGGAACGGAGTGAGCGGCGGTGGGCAGTGTCCACACACTGGAAAGCCGTGTGCACGTACAGTTGTGTGTCTGGCTGTCGTCTGGAAATGGTTTGACCTTTAATTCTCTAAGATCAAAAGGAAGTCCATACTGCAGGCAGTGTCTTCCTCCTGCAAGAAAGCCTCACCCCGAGCCAACTCGTAGAAACCTGGGTTTGTAGTAACAGGCCAGCTCGGCCCCTGGGGACCCGCCTTACATCCGCCTGCGTCACCGAATGGGGCACAGGAGGTCGGGGCTGAGATGGGAGGCAGGCCTTGATTTTATACTGATGTTTGACGTTAGTGTATGTGACTGTTAGTTTAATGTAACTTTAGGACAACTGGATGTGGTAGGTCTATTAGGCTTTTGCTCACAGTTTGGAGAAAAATCGTTAGGGAATCTCTCTCCCTTGGGCAATCAGCTGAGGGGATGACCTCCTAGGGCCCCTCTGGAAATCTGTGACTCGTCCTGGTTATCCAGTGACAGCAGGATGCTGGCATTTAACAGGTGAGCACCAGGGAGCCAGTTGTCCTGCTGTGAGCAGTTCAGTAATTCCCGTCCTAGGAAGGATTGTCGCGTCCCACGTGACAAAACCCCGTCCCAGGGTTTGGAAAGGATCTTCTTTTCTGACCCCTGGGAACTCTCCGAGAAGTCTTCTGGCAATTTGTTTCTCAGACTTTCCCCCTTATTCTTGGACTCGCATTGGATTCCAGTTTCACAACCCTGCTGGTGATTGTGGCTGGTGGTATAAACCCACAGGAGATGAGGCAAATGCTTCCATTTTTGGGCTAATGTGCATTCATTTCTCCGTCTAGATTTCCGGCTTAGCCATTTTACTTAGGAGCATCGAGCTGCTGACGTGCACCGGCCTCACCCCCTTCTGCGGCACCATCGCGCCTTCCTCGTGCCGTCCGGGTTCCTGAGGTCGAGGAGGTCATCGGCTGAACTGGGAAATCTTTTTGCAGTGGCAGCTTCTTGGTTAAAAATTTATCCTGGGTTTTCGTCTGTGGCAGTTATGTGCTCCGTTGCTCCAGGTGGATTCTGCGCGTGTAGGGATGGCCTCAGAACCTCGTTTTATTTAAAGCTTAGTGGCAAATACACTCCAGTATTAATAGTATGTGTTTTGGGTGATAGGACTACAGGTAATTTTTTCCTCCTTTCCATACGTTTTTGGTTTTGTTTTGTTTTGTTTTGTATGTCACTTGTGTTTCTTGTTCTGGCTGCTATAACAAAATACCATCGACTGGGTAGCTTAAACAGCACATGTTTGTCACTCACACTTCTAGAGGCTGGAAAGTCCAAGATCAAGTGCTGGCTGATTCAGTGTCTGGTGAGGGCCCTCTTCCTGGTTTGCAGAGGGACACCCCACTGTGTCCTCACATGGCAGAGAGAGAGCACGACCCAGCTCTCTGGTCTCTTTCTAAGGGCACTAATCCCACCATGAGGACTCCACCCTCATGACCTCATCTAGACCTACTCACCTCCCACAGGGCCCCCTCAGTACCAGCACCTTGGGGGTTAAGGCTTCAACATAGGGATTTGGGGGTGGGGAACACGACATTCAGTCCACAGCACTGTGACTAACAAAGGAGTGTGGATTTGCAGTCAGGCAGACCGGGGTCTGAATCCTAGCGTTGCCACATAGTAGCTCTGTGACTTTGGGCACGTGTCTTCTCTAAGTGTCGTTTTCTCCGTATGGAAAATTGGGGTGTTGCTGTCAACCTCACAGTTGTGGGATCCTTAGATGAAACAGCAGGCACACGTTTCTGGGGGGCCCTCAGGAAGCATTTCCTCCGTTCATCCTTGCCCTCCGTTCCCACCAGGTCTTCCGCATGGTGAGTGCTGCCCGAATGGGTAACCGGGCAGGTCATTGGTCTCCTGTGCTGTGTCCTTTCAGTGATCTGCAGAACGCAGCCGCTGGGTCCTTCGCCTCCGCATTCGCTGCCCTGGTGCTCTGCCCCACTGAGCTGGTGAAGTGCCGGCTACAGGCCATGTATGAAATGGAGACATCGGGAAAGATAGCCAAAAGCCAGAAGTAAGCACCGCTCGGGCACAAACATTGGGTCTCTAACATGTACTGAGTATTTTTTAAAATATATTGTACTAAAATTAAGTGGCAGATATAGAGGCAGATTTGTCTACTCCAAAATATTGTTTCTAGCACTTTCTTGAACCAGTCAGAATAATTTTCTGAACAGACTGTTTGTGATGGTCGGACCCACCATCCACCCCACAGAACATCGTAGGCAGATATTTAATACCCCACAAGTGATGAAGCTAGGAGCTTATATCCCTTTTGGCCTGTTGAGTGCGTAAGGCATGATCCCCAACTGTATTTGGAGGCACATGGCCGACACCTTTGGAACTCAGAGAGCTGAGCCATTGTAAGGGCCAATTTGGATTCTGCTCATTCCCAGGTTTCACATGGGTGTTTAGGCTGATCACCTCAGATCCTACTGGTAACTTCCTTTATCTTCCTCCCTAATCCTTGAAGTATACCTACAAAAGGCCTTAGTTCTGGAAACACTCAGCAGAACCATGATAAGCATAGCTACTCTTCAGTGATCAAATTCCTCGCGAGCTCAGTCTTGGAATATTCTAGTCGCCCTGTGAAGGTGTATATATCATATACATATGATTTATTTGAATTGTAAGGCAATTTATTATCCTTATTAATCTCAAAACTTGCTTATTTATCTTAACATCTGGCTGACTGAAATTCTGGGGGTGGATATTGCTGTGGTTAACTCAAGCCTGTAAATCTGCTGGGGAAAACCAGTAGATAAATTGACCATTTTCAGAGTTGTCAGTCTCCTTGTAGCAAGGATGGGGTTTGCAACAGAGTCCTATTTTCTGCACCCTTGACTTTCATTACAGCCAATTTGAATCTATTATTCATAGCCTGGAGTCCAAAAGTGTAAGTCTTTAAGACTTTTTATGGAAGTATAATGCACACACAGTACCAGGAATACCCACAGAAATCATAAGTGTGCAGTTCTATAAATAGTCGCAAAATGAACATGCCTTTTTAACCAGTGCCCGGATTAAGAAATAGGACATTAACAGCACCCAGAAAGTTGCCCTCATGCCCCTTGGAAGTAGTTTAAGGTACTTTTAAAGAAAATAATTGCTAGATCCGAAGGACTTAGGCAGATGGACACCTTGTGTGAAAGTAAATGTTGGTTAACTTTATTTTAGGCAGAGCAGTGGCCACGCAGGGCTGTACGGTAGCTTGGGGTTAAGATTCGGATTGGAAGGCAGGCTAACTGTGTTGAGCTGGATTACCCTGTTACATTCGCATCAGAGAATGAGAGCAGTGTTGCGGGGAGGACCTGGCTGATGGGTCACAGCTGATGAAGCCTTCTGAAGTCCGAGGGAGGAAGGAAGATAGTCGTTAAAAGCAGGTGGCCTTTATCCCCTCAGGGCTTGATCCTTCATTGGTCCAAACCGAGTCACCTGCTCTTTGAGAACAGAATGAGGAGCCAGGGGTTCACCAAGCCTACCGAGGGTGTGGTTTCTGGCACTCTCCTTCCTGCCGTGGCGCACGCCATCAGGAAGAGGAGTCTAGACGGAAGGAGTCCTGTGTTCCGGCTGCTGCAGGGCCCTGATCTGCCTCTCTAGGAACTAAATCCTCGGTGCTTCTTGCCTTTCAGGAGCTGTAGCTCCGTTCTTAGAATTTCTTTTGTCTTGATTGTTACTTGCTCATTTCCCTGCACTAACACAAAACAAACAAACCCTAAACCTGAACAAATTCTCTCCAAACACCAGATCAAAAGAAAGGTCGGGGAGCTAGGAAATGAGGGAGGTAAGAGACTGGGCAATATGATACCATTTTATTCTTGCTGAGTTTGGACAACCCCTTATTGTAATTTCACTTATTCACTATTGAAAAAATGGGTCTTAGCTCTTTTACATCTTTGATAATGACTTCTAGAAATGTATTCATCCATTTTAATAAGATTTCTTTACCCTAGAGTAGTTCAGGAGAGAAAACTTGTTATAAAATCATTGTATCTGTGCTTCTCTGAGATTTCCTGCCACAGCAGCCTTTTAGAACTCTGGTTCTCTGTCTACAGAACTAGCTGCTTCCC